TCAAACAGAATACTGTAAAAGCTTATTTTTCAAAGCTCAAAATTCTTCAAATGCAGTAAAATCTATTTTGTTAAATTTGAACAAAAAGCTCACGTGTATTTTGCCAAATACTTTCCATAATATTGAGGATTTTTGACTTTTTCAACTTTATCTAAAACAAACTTTTTGTTTTAAAAGTCTCTTTTGTTTAAAAATCATTAAAATCACCTCAAATCACACAAGCTTACATCAACTGATTTCAAGATATTGTAAAAGCATGAATAAAGCTTTGACTGTTACAAAAATAGCTATAATGTGGATGTAATTAAAAGCTCTTATAGAAGGTGTTATTTTAGTTTTAATGTAGACATAAATATGATTTTATAAAAGTTCAACGAAAAAGTAAAGATTTTGAATAAAGCTTTTTAAAGTCAATTTCTTCAGCTGTAATCACGTTTAATTTAAACCATATGTGATCTCATAAAATCTTAATCCCAAAAGCTTTTTAACTTTCAGAAGCAGTAAAATAAAATAAGTGATGTATAACCTAAAAGCTTCTTAAACTTTTTGAAATTTTTATAAATTCCTTTAAGCCTTTTTCCCATTTGTTTAGCTTTAATCAGTTTTAATTAAACCCAAATGCGATCTTATAAAAGCGTATAACCAAAAGCTTTTTAACTTTGAAAAACGGCAACAATCAAAGAAGTCGCCCATAACCTAAAAGCTTCTTGAAAATTACTGCAGTTTTAAGATTTCTTTAATTGTTCAAAACCCTTTCTATTTAAAGCTTTAAGACATTTTCTCATTTGTTAAAAAAAAAACGCAAAAATAATTATTAAAATAAATACAAAAATTATACAAAATATTAATTACATTAAAACTAACAAATACCAAACAGTTTCAGTAAGATTGTTTTTGTTTTTCATCCAACTATTAAAAGGGTGTGATTTTTGTTTCTTACAAACATTTTCTATCTAAAGAATTAATTGAGCATAACAGCAATTTGGCTTTAGATGGCTGTATTATGTTTGATTAAAAAGTATGAAGTACATTTTGTTTAATTTTGTTATTAGAAATAATAATTACAAAAACAAAAAATTACAATTTGTTTCTTTTTTTTATTATATTTTATTATAATAAAAAATAAAATAATATATAAAAAAATATTAAATTAAAATAAAAAAATCATATTCCCAGCTGTTAGAAAAAAATATATATATTTAATAACAGTTGCAACATTTAAATTCAACATCATCACCACCACCAGCAGCAGTTAGTTTTAGACGTTGCGCACAATTTTTACTACAACAAATTGTGCATGAATTGTTAATAATTTTTTTTTTTATATTATTTTACTACTATTTTCCATGAGTGTTGTTAGAGTTGAGGTGTTGTTTCAATGATTAAATGAGTTACAAACACGCTAAATTAAATTAGGTTTATTTGATTTTTCGAATATTTTTTCTTCTGTTTTCAATTCTTTTTTTATATAGAAATGTGAGTATTATTAGACTGGTGTTGAAGAGGGGTTTGTAAAATAAATCAATTAAAGTTTTATAAAGTTAAAACAATCTTGTGTGTTAAGGAGTTCTTTCAAGTAACTAATTTGTGAAATAAAACGTTTTAATCATAGAGTGTTTTTAAGTGTTTGAAAAAAAGGTTCCAATTTTGTTCCCCCAATTTCTCCGAGGATATCAGCTGATATTTAGTTTTCAGCCATCTTGAAACAATTCTGTAGAGTTCTATTGAAATCTAATCACTAATTTCAAAAAATCTCAAATATTTAACATTGTGAACTTTGACCTTTTAGTACACATGTTTTAAAACTGAGCAATTTTGCTGAAATCTTTCACAAATATGTCTCTCTCAATATAGGCTATAGTCAAGACTATAGGCAACACTATTGTCTATACAATAGACAAGAATATAGTCGGGACTATAGACAAGATTATATTGTGGAACATAGACCAGGCAATAGTCTGAACTATACACAATACTATAGTTTATCCAAGACTATAGTCTATATTATACACTAAAGTTAAGGCTATAGAAAAGACTACAATCTGGACTATAGACAAGAATATAGTCTTGATTGTAGACAATACTAAAGCCAGTACTATAGACAAGACTATTGTTTAGACTATATACAAGACAATAGTCTGGACTATAGACAAGACTATAGTCTGGACTATACACAAAACTGTAGTCTGGACTATACGCAAGACTGTAGTCTGGACTATAGACAAGACTATAGTCTGGACTATAGACAAGACTATAGTCTGGACTATATACAAGACTATAGTCTGGACTATAGACAAGACTATAGTCTGGACTATAGACAAGACTATAGTCTGGACTATAGACAAGACTATAGTCTGGACTATAGACAAGACTATAGTCTGGACTATAGACAAGACTATAGTCTGGACTATAGACAAGACTATAGTCTGGACTATAGACAAGATTATAGTCTGGACTATAGACAAGACTATAGTCTGGACTATAGACAAGACTATAGTCTGGACTATAGACAAGACTATAGTCTGGACTATAGACAAGACTATAGACAAGACTATAGTCTGGACTATAGACAAGACTATAGACAAGACTATAGTCTGGACTATAGACAAGACTATAGTCTGGACTATAGACAAGACTATAGTCTGGACTATAGACAAGACTATAGTCTGGACTATAGACAAGACTATAGTCTGGACTATAGACAAGACTATAGTCTGGACTATAGACAAGACTATAGACAAGACTATAGTCTGGACTATAGACAAGACTATAGACAAGACTATAGTCTGGACTATAGACAAGACTATAGACAAGACTATAGTCTGGACTATAGACAAGACTATAGACAAGACTATAGTCTGGACTATAGACAAGACTATAGGTGGACTATAGACAAGGCTATAGGTAAGAATAAAGTCTGGATTATGAACAAAACTACTGTCTGGATTATCGACAAAACTCCATAGTCTGGTTTACAGACCAGACTATAATAAATTCTTTGACAAAACTGAAGAAAACTATTTATTTTCTTGTATCGCAAAAGCTTTAAAAAAAGCTAAAAATAACTTTGAAACAAAATTTTTTTAACTATTCAAGTTTTCATAACAATTTCATATATGACAACCTTAATATGTCATCAAAAATCAATCACAAATGTCAATCACTATTAATTTTTTTTAAATGAACAATTAAAGGTATTTCATATTTATAAAAAAAATTGATTCAAAATTAAACATTTGATGCAACAGTCATAACAAGACAACATTATTATCAGCTAATTGTAAGCGAGTAAATCATTATCATGACTTATTTAACTCCCTATTTATAAGCAAGCATGTAAGGTAATTGCTTACAATAATATTCGCAAGTTAAAATAATGAGTTATAAAGTCAATGTATAAGTAGTGAAAGCTTTTTAACTTCTTTCTTTCAATGTAAGCTTTATTAAAACCTTATTGACATTCATTATTCACTGATTCTAGGCCTTTAAATATGTATATAAATTAAACAGTAATTAAATATCATAATAATTTATATACAAAATTTATTAACTCTTTAAAACGCCCCCATTATATGAACAAACTATTTATTGGCAGTTGCTGTTGCCAACACAGCTTTACTAAACCTTGACCCGTTTATTTTACTCAAAAATAAACATATTTTCATTGGATGAAAAATCACACTTGTCATTATAAATTTATTGGTATTAAACATCATTTGTCACAATTAATGTTTAACTAAACATTATTTTTCGTTTAAAGCAAATTTGCAAAATTCGTTTTTTTTTGCGGTTTTTTATTTGTACCGACAGAGATTTTTGTATTTTGTCATTTTACTTGAAGAAAAAAAAAGACAAGAAACAAACTACAAGTCTTGGAAGGAGTAGGGAATTAAAAAGTAAAACAAAAATAAAACCTTTAACAAGACAAAAGTACGTGCATACAGTCAATAGGTACTTTAACAAACATTTATATGGCCAATTCCAATGTACAGATCAAACCATGCCAATACCATCATACTTATTGTATGTATAACAGAGACCATACCAGACCACAAAAACATTTAAGACGGCATTTAAACTTAACAAAGTGTAAAGACATCAGAGCATAATGATAATAACAATGATGATGATGTTGCTTGATGATGACGATGGTGGTCCAGAATAAATGAACCTCAAGCCATGTGTCACTTGTGATCAACAAACAGATCAGCTGAATGATTTTTTTATTTACAATTTACTCTGAATTTAAAAAAAAATCAACAATTCGTAATGAATAAAAAACAAACCGAAAAGACTTGAAGTGCAGCACACGACAAAAATTGCAAAAATTTTTCTTAAAAGGCAATTAATTGTGGTTATAGCTTTTCAAAATTGGGGGGCTGAAGAAGAAAAAGGGGAACATTTTTGTTTTGAAAATAAAGATATTTAACTTAAATGTTTTTGTATCTGTTTGGGGGAAGGTTTAATAGCGTAATATAGCTGTAATAGTACCTCTTTCTTTTGGCCTTTAGTACCTTTTCAATTTAGTACTTTTTTAAATTATTTCTCTTTTCACTTCCTTTTCCCATATTTAATACTCTAATTATTTGTTTTATCTTTCTGCCTTTAGTACCTTTTCAATTTAGTACTTTTTTTTAAATATTCTCTCACTTCCTTTTCCAATATTTAATGCTCTAATTATTTGTTTTATCTTTTTTTAATTTCTCATCCTTTCAAATTTATTTTAAAACTAATTTCCAAACCCTCCCTTTTTTAACGAATTTCTGTCAACACCTTAACGCCCTCTTTAGGGACCCCTCTTATCGCTTATGTGTTCTGATGTGTATTTTCATACTTACTCTCTCGTTTTAAAGAATACTTCCGGTTTTGGTAATATTTAACTTTAAACTAATCAAATTTTTAATTTCTATTGGCTTCGCTCTAAAAACTCTTAAGTATTTTTTTGGTTTGCTTTAAAAAGTTAGTATTTTTGTGTTTAAGAAATTTTGTATTTAATTTACCTCTCTGGTGGTTTAATCGATAAACATCTGCAATTAAAAAAAGAGAGAAAAACAAAAATTATTGATTATTATATCCTTGACGTTAAATTAAGAATATTTAGGTCAAATTATTGCAAAAATTTGTTTGAAATCATTAATATATCAATAATTAAAAGTTTCATGCACTTTAGTGGAAAGAGAATTAAACATGAACCAGTTCCTTGGCTGGTACTTTGGGGCTTATAAAGTGACTTCTAAGGACAATAGCTAAAACACCTTTAAACTGAGATTGAAAAATACGCAAAAGTCAAACCGATATACTGCAAGATATGATATGAAAATTTTGACACAGAACTGCCTTCCTATTCCGCTAGATTCGAGGCCAAATCTTTTACACAAAGATTTCCAATAGACTTCACTATTGCTTTTGATCAAGAAACACTTCATTTTGCTAATCCTAAGTCCTACACAGAGGGAAAAAGAAATATACATGCCTGGTATCAAATTGACACCAAACTGTTTATAATTTTTCAATAACATCCGTTGTCAAAGTAAAAAGCCTTTTAGAAAGCTTTACTTTAGCATTAAGTTTTTTTTTAAAACAAAATGTATTCTTATAAAAGCTTAATTCTAAAAGCTGTTATTGATACCTGGGTCACACAAGATAATTCAACCGGAGCTTTCAGCATTTGTGGAACTGTTAGTTAGTTATCATTAAAAAGCTTTCAAAGTAAACGTGTGATCTTTGAACTAAGATCTAGAACTCTTTCAGAAAGCTTTACTTCAAATTTAATTAAAATTTACTAACACAAAATGTCATCTTATAAAAGCTCAATCCTAAAAGGATTCTTATCATTAAAAAAAACAGTAAAGATCTTAGTAAACTTAAAGTTGCTTTTAGTGTACTTTTTGAAAGTTTTTCACATTAAAGTTTTCCAAAGTTTTCACTACTAAAAGCACATTTGGCCATATCCATCTGTCTGTTTGTCTGTGCGTCCACCTTTTGTATTTTTTAAATTTAAATTTTAAATTTTACGATATATTTACTTCGAAATTTTGAACAATCTTTGCTTTACAACACTATTAAATAAGTTCCTCACTTAAACTTATTTTTTAAGACTTTTACTTTAAATAAACTAATTTGAGCATTTTTAATGTAAATCTTTTATTATCTTCCTTACAAAACCACTGAAATTTGGTCAGCCACAGTTATTAGTACCCTTTTTATAAAGACCCCAATAGCTCCTTTCTGCCCTTACTTAGAAATTCATTTCAAATTTAGCTTTTTACTTTTACATTTGTTATATCAAATATGCTATAGTTTTCCTTGTTTTCTCTAAAAATCAAACTGGCCTTTGCCACAACCCTGTGGGGACATGTTAAAGTATTTACTAGTATGAGTTTCTGTTACATTTAATAGAGCTAAAGTTTCCACAAAATATATTTTATTAGTTTTTAACATGTAAATGTTAACATTTATTTAAAGTTAACTAACAACCACCTTTTAAATTTTAAATAAACTGGAATAAAAGTGAAAAGTTTAAATAAAAACACAGCAAAAGTTTAAAAGGCTAAAAAGGATAATTGAAAAAGAACTAGTTTCCCAGCTAGTTCTTTAGTAATAGATATGTATAGCAAAAAAGTACTTTTTTAAGTACCAAATTTTGTCCCCCTTCCTTCTTTCTTTAACAAACCAAGTGCGTTAACACAAATATTTATTAAAGTCAATTTGCTGAAAATAGAAAAACAATACACTCATACACACTCTCTTCCGATGTAATTTTTTCTCATTTCCGGTTTCCTGTTAGGCGAAATAGAAAAACTCTGCGACTGTACAAATCAATAACTTTTCTAAAAAGTTATTGCAATAAATAGTGAACAGCAAAATACCTTTTTTTATTTTAAATAAATAGCAAACGACACAATAACTATTATTGCGAAAAAAAGAAAAATAATGGCAACAAATCGTAGAAAACAGAGTAAAATACAAATAACTGGGTGTAGTTTTAATAAACTATTGTTGTAGAAAGACCACACCATTTCCAAGGTATTACAGGACTTTGAAAGAAAAAAATCTATAAGTTTCGTAATGAATTTCATGAAGTTTTTAAGGACTGAAAGGAACATCTTAGTTAGTTGTTAGTTAGTTAGTTAGTTAGTTTAGTTAGGTTAGTTAGTTATGTTCGTTAGTTAGTTAGTTAGTTAGTTAGTTAGTTAGTTAGTTAGTTAGTTAGTTAGTTAGTTAGTTAGTTAGTTAGTTAGTTAGTTAGTTAGTTAGTTAGTTAGTTAGTTAGTTAGTTAGTTAGTTAGTTAGTTAGTTAGTTAGTTAGTTAGTTAGTTAGTTAGTTAGTTAGTTAGTTAGTTAGTTAGTTAGTTAGTTAGTTAGTTAGTTAGTTAGTTAGTTAGTTAGTTAGTTAGTTAGTTAGTAGTTAGTTAGTTAGTTAGTTAGTTAGTTAGTTAGTTAGTTAGTTAGTTAGTTAGTTAGTTAGTTAGTTAGTTAGTTAGTTAGTTAGTTAGTTAGTTAGTTAGTTAGTTAGTTAGTTAGTTAGTTAGTTAGTTAGTTAGTTAGTTAGTTAGTAGTTAGTTAGTTAGTTAGTTAGTTAGTTAGTTAGTTAGTTAGTTAGTTAGTTAGTTAGTTAGTTAGTTAGTTAGTTAGTTAGTTAGTTAGTTAGTTAGTTAGTTAGTTAGTTAGTTAGTTAGTTAGTTAGTTAGTTAGTTAGTTAGTTAGTTAGTTAGTTAGTTAGTTAGTTAGTTAGTTAGTAGTTAGTTAGTTAGTTAGTTAGTTAGTTAGTTAGTTAGTTAGTTAGTTAGTTAGTTAGTTAGTTAGTTAGTTAGTAGTTAGTTAGTTAGTTAGTTAGTTAGTTAGTTAGTTAGTTAGTAGTTAGTTAGTTAGTTAGTTAGTTAGTTAGTTAGTTAGTTAGTTAGTTAGTTAGTTAGTTAGTTAGTTAGTTAGTTAGTTAGTTAGTTAGTAGTTAGTTAGTTAGTTAGTTAGTTAGTTAGTTAGTTAGTTAGTTAGTTAGTTAGTTAGTTAGTTAGTTAGTTAGTTAGTTAGTTAGTTAGTTAGTTAGTTAGTTAGTTAGTTAGTTAGTTAGTTAGTTAGTTAGTTAGTTAGTTAGTTAGTTAGTTAGTTAGTTAGTTAGTTAGTTAGTTAGTTAGTTAGTTAGTTAGTTAGTTAGTTAGTTAGTTAGTTAGTTAGTTAGTTAGTTAGTTAGTTAGTTAGTTAGTTAGTTAGTTAGTTAGTTAGTTAGTTAGTGTTAGTTAGTTAGTTAGTTAGTTAGTTAGTTAGTTAGTTAGTTAGTTAGTTAGTTAGTTAGTTAGTTAGTTAGTAGAAATACTCCCTGACAACTATCAGGATTGTTGTGTGGTCCTTCACCAGAATCTCTACTGGGAATTGAACCCGTGATCTTTGGCCTGACAGGCTTAAACACTACCAACTAACCTATCGAATGTACTCTAAAATGAAATACATACACTGTCTGAAAGACCATTTCTTTCAACGGAAATCTCTGAAATATGATTTAAAATTTTCGAAAAATTAAATTAGGTTTATTTGATTTTTCGAATATTTTTTCTTCTGTTTTCAATTCTTTTTTAATATAGAAATGTGTATTAGATTTGTGGTGGTGGTGTTGAAGAGGGTTTTACAAAATAAATCAATTAAAGTTTTATAAAGTTAAAACAATCTTGTGTGTTAAGGAGTTCTTTCAAGTAACTAATTTGTGAAATAAAACGTTTTAATCATAGAGTGTTTTTAAGTGTTTGAAAAAAAGGTTCCAATTTTGTTCCCCCAATTTCTCCGAGGATATCAGCTGATATTTAGTTTTCAGCCATCTTGAAACAATTCTGTAGAGTTCTATTGAAATCTAATCACTAATTTCAAAAAATCTCAAATATTTAACATTGTGACCTTTGACCTTTTAGTACACATGTTTTAAAACTGAGCAATTTTGCTGAAATCTTTCACAAATATGTCTCTCTCAATATAGGCTATAGTCAAGACTATAGGCAACACTATTGTCTATACAATAGACAAGAATATAGTCGGGACTATAGACAAGATTATATTGTTATGTAGTTAGTTAGTTAGTTAGTTAGTAGAAATACTCCCTGACAACTATCAGGATTGTTGTGTGGTCCTTCACCAGAATCTCTACTGGGAATTGAACCCGTGATCTTTGGCCTGACAGACTTAAACACTACCAACTAACCTATCGAATGTACTCTAAAATGAAATACATACACTGTCAGAAAGACCATTTCTTTCAACGGAAATCTCTGAAATATGATTTAAAATTTTCGAAAAATATTGAAAATGTTAAGAGTATAAACAGAATATCAATAGGAAATGGTGTAGCCTTTGTCAGTTAACAATTGCTATTGTACTACTCTCTCAATAAATGTATAGTATTTGTTTATTGTGTAGGTAGATTTGTATGTATGTTTTAGTATATAAATAACAACAATAAGAACAATTGACTTACATACAAAACCCAAGTTAGATTTACAACTTGTAAAAGTTTTGTGACTGGTTGAAAAGTTTAAATTTAAACTGCGTTTGAATTTACAGTTGCAATTGTTGGTTTGTTGTTGTTATTGTTCTTGCAGTTTGCAGGCATTTTACATTTTGCGATGACATTAAACGGAAATACGCAATACAAACCTATGAAAACCTTAAGAAAGAAAAAAAAGAAGAAAACTTGGGCAAAACTTAAAATAAATTGTAGTTTAGTGGTACGATCTAAAGGGGTAGGCCAATCAAAAAAGTTATTACAAAGAAATTAACTATAGGAAACAGATTGTAATGGTCTACATAATAACTATGATCTTATAAAAGCTCACTTTTAACAGCTTATTAATGTTTGGTAAGCAGTAAAACTTTCAGAAAGCTTTACTTTAGATTTAATCAAGCTTATCTTAAACCAGAACATGATCTTATTAAAGCTCAATCCTAAAAGCTTTTTGATGTTTAAGAAGCTTTAGGAATTAAACATGTGACCCTAGACCTAAAGCTTTCAGTGCTTTTAGTTTAAGTTCCGTAAAGCCTTAACAAAATGTTCTCAAATGCTTGGAATCATGTATATTAAGTTTATATCCGAACTTTATTGTTTATTTCTCCTTTTCAAATTGCTTACACCCTGTGTTTTTATACATTTACCATTTCAATCATATATAACTTTATGTTATGCGTTTAAAATTACAGACAAATCAAATCAAAAATGTAAAACTTTTCTAATCTAAATACTGAAAAATAAAAGTTTTTAGTTTTCTCATAACTTTTGACTTTTAAATGTAAATGTTATTTACATACGTATGTATGTAAATACTGGTAATAATTTTTATTTTACCTTTTAAAATATAATTAATAAATAATTAAAATCCTAATAAACTGAATTTATATGTTCGTAAAGTTTATAAAAAATAACCCAGCAGACAATTGTGGTTAGTAAAACTTAAACTAAGTAGTACAATAGACATGAAATTTAACATGAAGCATGAACTTTAAGTGGAAAATATTCCAAATTAAGTTTAGGTGATAAATCTCTTAGACCCCTCTGCAGCAGCCCTATGTGATCTCAAAGTAAGCCACCTCCGATATCTGTATTGGTCCTATTGGGAAGTAGCATCTAAAGTGAAGAATAATCTTTTATTTCTAAATAAAATATCACATATAACGATGGACCTAGAAGACCCCTCAAGGGGTATTCAGAATAAACAAAATATATGGAGCAGTTATTTCCTTTAATGTCTAACTACCCAAGTAATGCGAAAGGAGAATCAATCATTACCTTAGTATGCCCAAGTAATCTAAAGAGTTGTCTCCACGAAATCGATTTGATTTTTCTGACTTTCTCTTTGTAATCTAGGGAGGGACGATTGATATGTAACTACCCAAGTAGTGCGTAGAGAGAATCAATGATTACCTTAGTATAACCAAGTAATCAAGAGAGTATTCTCCACAAAATCGATTTGAGCTTTTTGACTGTCACTTTGTAACATATAGAGTGGCGATCGAATACCTCCTAAGGCAATGTAGAAAAGCTTTTAAAGCTCAATTAAAGCTTCTCTCCTTAATGTATTTAATACATTGTGAATTTTAAAATTTTAATTTGAAAATTATCACCTTTACACACACAAACCAGAAAGTACTTTTTTAAATCCCCTTTTCAAACAACAAACTAAATTCTTTTTTCTATTTAACACAAACATTTAAAAATGCTTATTATTCCTTAAAAAAAAAAAAAAAAAAAAAAACAAATAAAAAAGAAAACCTCTCTTACCTGGCAGTTGTACAGTCACGATACAGTATATCAAAGTCTTTGCACGACAACAGCTTACAACGATTCACCCCTGGTTGTATGGCACCCAAACCGCGCAATATTCGCACCTGTTCAACATTGCACACCAACGGCACAATGTCTAAACGCTTCAGTTTCGTATACACCGTATGTAGGCCACCGACTAAATGTTTCAGAAACAATTCAAAAGCCTGCGGCAGACACAACATTGTCTCACCGCTTATAATAAAAGCGGCAACTTTCTGACCACGATACTCTACCAATTTACACTCATTGGCACTGGGATCTGAGGTGGAAATGGGTGGCGGGCTATTATAGGTGCGTGGTGGTACATGATGATGAGCCGCCGCCATTAGTTCTAGCGGCGAGGCATGATGCATCATTTGTAGGGAATTGAGCAAACCCAACGAATGGGGTGGCAAACCATGGGGCATACGTGGTGGTAGACCGGCGGGTAAACCGTTCGGTGTGGGTACACCACCCACATGTGGTGGTGGGCTTAATTGATGATGTTGCTGTTGCATTTGTTGCATCATTGAGTGGTTAAGTGAAGTAACAGGGCTGACAGCACTGGGGTGGCGTGTGGGTGAAGAGGCTGGTGAACAACTGGAACCACGACCGGTATGTGAAGATCTGCCATTGGGACGTTCATCACCTCTATCAGTACCACGACTACTGCTATTATCACGTCCACCGTTTTGTTGTTGCTGCTGTTGTTGTTGTTGTTGCTGCTGATGATGCATCAGCATGGTGGCTGAATTCATTATATTATTATTGTTAAGAATATTACTATAATGTGTAGGACTAAGTTTTTGATGTAAAGGACTTTTGTTGTTGTTGTTGTTGTGATTGTTATTGATTAAAATTGTATTATTATTATTATTGTTGTTGCTGCTGTTGCTCGTATTGTTCATTGCCGCTTTCTTAGTGGCGTTATAAAGATATTCACGTTTGAAATTTATTAATGCCGAGGTCGACTTTTCATAGTCCAAACCATTTGTTGAGCTTTGATTCTTTTCACTTATATTCAGATATTTTGTGTTATCACAGTTTGAATTCATTATATTTTGAAAATGTCTTTAAAGACATTATTTTTTGCAACACTTTATCACTGTTTATGAAAAATTTTTTAACACTTTTTTAAATTTCAGTTTAATTTGTAAAAATCTGCAAAGAGAAGGAAATAATAAAATGTTTAGTAAAAAAATAGTATTCAAATTGTTTTTCTTTATCAGAAATCTAGTTGAGTTTTTGAAAATATTAAAAAATTTTGAAATTATTTGAAATCCTCACAGTTTGAAAAAGCTTAATTTAAGCTTTTAAAAGGTTTAATTAATTGTTACTGATTAAAGTTTGTTTTCTATTTATACAAAATTTTTTTTTTTTTTTTGTAATTTTTACAATTATTCTTAAAACTGGTTATTTTCTTTAACAAATATTCTATTTTGTTACTATTGATATGTATTAAGTGTTAGTATTAATGACATAATGACATTGTTTTAATTAATTTTTATTGCATTTTATCGATTTTAATCAATTCAATTCAAAATCAATCAGCAAATTATTTGAATTTCATTTTAATGGCGTTAATTAGTTAAGTGTATTTAAATTAGCTCAATGTTTTAAAGCTGCCAGAAGAAATTTTCCTTAATGTAAATTAAGTTATTAAAAAAGTAAAGAAAAGTTTAGTTCTAATAACTAAAAATATTTTATTTACTTTTCTTAATGATCGTAAAATCGTATCTATTGACTTTCCCTTAGAGGTTAGATTTTGCTTAGGCTGCTGTACCGCAATTGAGATCATTTATTAATCCCCGAAAAAGGATTATAAGAAGAAAGGAAGAGAAGATCGATATGAAAAGAATGGAAAAGAAAAGTGTGAAAGGCCGAATGTGAACAGTATTTCACACCTAATTTGGCAAATTTCAAGTCTGAAATATACACCGATCTTAGTATAAAGTAGCGTATATATTCCTGGACTGGACAATTGCTCAGACAATGAGTCAATCCTTATTTTGACAAGTTCTTCAGAAGTCATTATAACGAAGACCCATGCGCCTTACATGATTTCCAAGTTTGCGGATTCAAACGAATGTAGAGCCTGTAGAGAGAACAGTGAAACTCTGGAGCACTTTCTTTGAAATTAGATCCAAATATCTTGGGAGTGATATTATTCCGGATATAACATAACTGATTGGAAAATACTTAGAATTTACGTCCAGGAAACTGAGTTTCTGAACATCGGACGATAATACATTTAATGAATACTATATAAGGTTTTTGATTTTACCAACAAACATGTTCATGAATAGGAGCGCACAAGAGGCCCGATAGTGGTCTAGGTGTATTTTTTCGGATTTGATGTAAATACATCCTCCTTTCAACCACACCTAGCTTATCAGTCTAGGGATTGTTGGTTCGATTCCCACCAGAGACTGTGGTCTGCTTCACTGCTCGGTAAATTGTGTTAGAATATAATTGTTACTTTATCGAAAAAAGGACTTATTCTTTACTATGAAATCTGTGCTAAAATCATCGGTCCTTCTGTGTAGTAAATTCGACTGCTTCTTTGGTAGTTCTCTTTGTACTGAGATACTGAATAATTGAGAATCGGAATGCTTTACTATAAAATATAGAATTTGATGAATTACTTTAATATCAAGATTTGGACAGAAAGACAGACGTGCGAATATCTATTTCGCTATCTATAAGGATTGAGAATGTATTTTACATTATAGGCAAATATACATCAAATCCGAAGAAATACACCTTGCCCTCTAACGGGCAAGGTGCGCTCCTTAACCATTGCCTCAGATGGGATCAAACCCACGACCTCCGGTCTACCAGACTGGAACACTAACCACTAACCTACCGGAGACCACCGGTCAAAAATAATCAAAATTTTAAATGTCAAAAATTGTGGAAATTTAAGAAGTAGATATAAACAGCTCGTATTATTGTGGAATCGGTATCAGAATAATTTAGATATTTATTATAGTTGTCAATATTATTATAAAATTATCAACTTCGATTCTAAATAATTAATTGAGGATTCTATATACAATTTGAGAGCTGAATATTATGAGCTGTTGAGTGATAATTAGTTCACTTTGGCAACATTTTATTAAATCTTTAAAGTATAAGTTGGACTTAAAAGCGCAGTATGCTAGTCAGTCTGGGGTCACGATGGATTTCAATTCCCATCAAAGACTCTAGTTTCTGGATTTAAAACATATCATTTATGTTTTGTTTAACATATAATTTCTTTTAAAATTTCCACATTTGTTTACAAAATATTTCATAAATTAATTAAAATGACACATAATATGTTGCATACTTTTAGGGGCATTTAAAAATACCGATGATCAAAATCGAGATCACTTTAAACTTATGAACTTTTTGAATGTGATTGTATGACCGCCTGTTTTACAATATCGAATTTTATTTCTTAGAAATATATTGAAAACAAAAACAAAAATTATATTTTTTTTGGTTATTTTCAATATATTTTTTTTTTAAGAATTAAAAGTTTTTTTCACATTTAGAGAAACCGGCTGTTGATGTCTGTTCATACTAATAAAAAACTATCGCAAATTGTTTTTATTTTTCAATACAAACGCAATGACAACGCAACGTTGTCAACATTGAAACAATTCGTTGTCGAAATCTAAATTTTATACACATCCGTGGTCTAAATGTTAACAAACGTGGAAAGCTCACTATTGGCAACGGATTGTTTTTTAATAGTGAGCTTACCATGTTTGTTAACATTTAGGCCACGGATGTGTATAAAATTTCAATTTCGACAACGAATTGTTGCAATGTTGTCAACATTACATAGTGTTGTCGTACGTATGTTTTTACTTTTACAACGGATGTTATTGAAAAACTATAAACTCTTTGGTGTCAATTTGGTACCAGGCGTATATATTTATTTTTCTCTCTAGGTAGTTTTAAAGAAATCTTCACTTGCTTTTCTTTTGCTCGCAAATTTTGTTAAAAACTTTAAATAGTTTATAGACGATCAGTGTAAATTTGTTTAAACTTTAACTAAATTTTTTTAATTTAAAAAATTTATTTTTCCGGATCAAAATTCAATAGTTCTTTTAAGCTTATTGATAAACAATTTCTTAAATTACACAAGCCAACAAATGTTACTCGATCACATTCAATTCAAAAGATATCGTGTCCTAAATCTGCAGTAATTGAACGTCGCTGAATCCAATTCTAGCATCCGATTTTCTATATCAAACCCTCGTTTAATCTCTGTTATATCTTGTTCCAACTTCAAGATATTTGAACTTCAAGATATTTGGAACATAAATTGAACTAAATGTTCTATAAGAAACATATATTTAGGTCAGAATTTGATACAAACTTTAGTTTAAGATATATCGAAGTATAGACAAAATATTGAGGAAGTAAAACACTGATTTTAAAGTCGACAGATTGGTCTATCAGATGACATAACAAGCTTTAAGAACTAATGTGTCTTAGCGATGTTATAACTTCTCAATTATGGCCAAAAACGGGATTTTTTTCAAATTTAAGGATTCAATATCTGGAAAACCTTTTAAAGTCAACAAGATATCTCGAAGAATAGACAAGATGTTGAGGAAGTTAAACACTTTTAAAGTCAACAGATTAATCTATCAGATGACATAACATAAAACTAATGTGTCTTAGCGATGTTATAAAGTCTCAATTATGGCCAAAAAAACGGGATTCTTTTTTTAAACTTCAGGCCACAATATCTCGAAAATCTGATGGGATGTAGGAATTCTAAGACCAGATTCGGATTCAGCAAAGTTCTCTAGATGAAATTTTGTTGGCCTGTATTATCAAAGACCTTTAACACAAAACTTTCATAAAAAATTGTTCTCAGAAAAGAAAATATTTAAGAACAAGAGCAAGTCTTTAATATTTAGAATTTTTTTAAATTTCTGGAATAGTTTTATTGAGAGAACAATTTTCTTGCACCATTATTATTTTTAACAAAAATATTTTATCACTGTAACTATTTACTTATAGTTTAATTTTGCTTAAAAACTCAACTGTATAACGAAAATTATTTAAAAACATATTCACCTTTTTTGTAATTAATTATTTATATTCAGTTTTAAACAGTTTTATTTCAATTAATTTTGTTATTAAATTTTTTAACTAATTTTTTTTAGGTTTATTTTTCTTTCAAAGAAATTTGTTTTATTTTTCTTTTAAATAAACAATTTTTTTTTTTTGTTTGTAGTAAATAAAAATTTATTTTAATTAATTTTTATAAATTATTTATTTGAATGGTAATTTCTTTATAAGTATTTGTGAGACAGTTAAATAGTTTTGCAATTAAAAATATGTTTTTCTCTTGTTGTTGTTGTTGCGCTAAAACGGAAATGAACTTTTTTAAACAACCGTTATTAAGTATTTATTTGCGGCGACAAAACGTATCATATAGACGAACCGTAGTAGCAAACAAATGAGAGACGATGACGACAAGCGTTATAATGATGTTGTTAACCGACGGCGTGTCACACGACGTATGATTATTGCTGGAAAACGTTAAGCAATCGTAACCGAAAAACACCAAACGTAATGGAAATGGAAAACAACAACACAATTGTACAAAAAAAAATATTATATATATGTATGTATTTGTAGGTATGTACAAATGTATGTATGTTTGCAGTTGTATGGGTATTTGTAATAAGGGGAGCAAAGACACTTTTACAAATATAAATTATTTCTTTCGTTTCTTTTTTTGTTTTTCTTTTTTTTTATGATTATTTCTTTTTATTATGCCATTTCAACTGGCAGCAGCTCTTTATTGATACATACTCACACTTAAATATAACTTTATATACTGGGGATTCTATTTTTCTGGCTTATTTTTTTTGTATATTTTGCTCTTTTTTTCTATTTGTATTACTTTTTGCTTATTTATTTGTAGATTTTTTTACACATTTAATTTACAAATGAAATGCGCGCGCGTATGAGGGATTTTTTTTTTTTTTTTTTTGCTCATTTAGTTGTGTTTTATTTGTTCAAGATTTTTCATTTGTTCAAATCCGACGACAATTGTACAACTGGCTAACGAAATAGATTTGTTTACGTCAGTCATTCACTCACTCACTCATTCACTGACTGACTGACGGCAATAACCAGCAAATACTACTACGACGGCCACGATTTTCAAAAACACATATAGGTGGTACTCTGCCTGCTGACGTTTTGGCTGTATAACTAACTAACTGACAGACTAAAATGAATGGACTGTCAGCTAAGAGGTGTATGTTAGTTCGTTATTTCGCTTACTTTTTTAGCTCGCTGCTGGGTCTGTGTGTTTTGTGAATGTTGTACCTTCACTTACGAATGACAAATTCGTAATGAAAAACGAAACATTGCTACGAATATCAATGTGTTTTTCAATACTCACACATTTATTAAATAATACACTCTCAGGCTTACACACACAGATACTCTCCTATACAAACACACAAATTGTACAAAACTCAAAGAAACAAAAAAAAAACAAACTATTAAATGTTGGTTTGGTTTGGTCTGTTGGCTGGTTGTTTTATTTTTTTATTACGATTCTTTTCTCTGCTTTTACACACACACACACTTACGTACTCACAATTCCATTCAAATACTCAAATTCATTTACTCTTACAAATACAACACAAATGAAATGAATTGAATTGAAAACAAGAAACACGAACAAATCGACAACAAAAAAAAAAACATCATAATAAAAAGAGAGTGAGTACAATTGTTGTGTTTTTATTATTGTCTACATTTGTTTGTAGCAATGATTGTTTGTTTGTTTGTATGCATGTAAGAGTGTTTATGTGTGTGAGTATTTATTTATTTGATTGTACTCCACCTCCTGCTGCTGCTGCTATTGCTGTAAAAAGAGTATTTGCTGCTGCGTCTGTTAACGTTATTGAGCAGGACATTTGTTGTTTTTTTTTACGATTCAAATTTGAAACGAATGTTTTTATTTGTTTTGTGTGTTTTTCTTTTTGTCTTTTAGCTTTTGCTGAGTAAATGTGTTCGTTCTGTATTTCGACTGTTTATTGCCACATACAGCAATAATAACAACAACAACAACAAAAAGGGGATGGTTTTTATTTCAATCCTTGTTGTTGCTGTTAGCCTAAACGAATACGAAACTGAATTGTAGATTTTTCTTTTTTTTTCTATATTTCGTATTTAAATGTACGACATCTAAATAAGGTTGTGGTTTTTGTTGCTGTAACTAACAAACAAACCCCCTTAAGCTAAATACATTTGTTATATACACACTCATACTAACACACACACACAAAAACCCACAAACTCTCTATATCATTCCTTACTTAAAGGACAAATGGCAAATCGTATTGACACAAAAATCCCAGAGAAATTGTATTTACAGTTACATTTCGTTTCAAATTGCAACCCCAATTGTAATCATCATCATCATTATTAACATCATTGTCTTCTTTAATGATATTTCACAATGCTCTCTTCTTAAGCTTCTGCTCAAAACCGGCATTTCTACACACTATGACGTTTAAACATATAAACATTTTATTATAATTTTCCCAAATTCTCACTCCTTTTTTTCTTCTTCTTTTAAATGACTCCACTCAGAGACATTATACACAAAAATAAAAAAACAGAAATCTTTATCCCCCAAATGAAATGGTTTTCTTTCTTTTTTCTTTAATTTCAAATCTTGTTTTATACTCACACTATTTGTTTAATACATTTGTAGGAAAAATATGTGTTAAAAAAATTACACAAATATTGCTTGGAGAAACGAATTGAGAGTTGATATTGCTTGTTTGTTTGCAATTGTGTGTGGGGAGAGTGTAAAGAGCAACCTGTTTAATAGAAGGGGGCCCTGAAATTTAAAATTTTTAACTTCATTACAGATTTTAAATATTATCTACTGCTAGGTTAGTTTGATGTTAGGATGAATACTACTTCCAATCCAAAGAAATACACATAGGCCACTAGGTATTGGGCTTGTTAAGCATTCCTTTACATGATGAAATATTGCTGGAAAACCCTTGATATAGTTTCCTATTCAGGTATTATATTCGATTTTCTAAAACTCAGTTTACAGGACTTAATTGCTTAAAATCAGTTATAAATAACACCGTGGGGGTATTATATCCGGAATAATAGAGCTCCCAAGCTGTTTGCATATAATTTCGACGAAAGCCTAGCAATGACAAAGAAAGCATTTCAAAGTTTAACTGTCCTCATACTAATATCGGTCTTACTCATTCAGAGGAGGCTGCTTTTCTCGTTTACCATATGTTCTGGTTCTGCCCATCGTTTCATTACTTTAAATGGCCTCATGGCACTCTCTCGCCCATAACTTCAATTCAGCCCTCATAGCGTCGAAGGGTTTTGCAGTAATAAAATTAACTTCCTCGAGCTTCTTTCCTACTATTTATTTATATATATTTATTGAAAAACCAATAATACTATTGTATTATTGGTTTTTCAATAAATTTAAAAGCTTACCTCTGGAAGAGTACTGTACCTTTGGTTTAACCTTACTATCAGCCTAATTACCTACTTGCTGTCGGTAAATATGTTAACCCCTTTCTGGCGTAATATTTTTTCTAATCCAGTTTACACATTCCGTTATTGCATGGACTTCTGCCTGGAAGCTGGTGTTCTGACTATGTAGACGGTAGCATATATTATATTGGTTTCTGGGTTTTTAAGGTAACACCAGAAAAGCCAGCATTCCTTCGTTTATATGAGCTAATGTTCCGCTTGCCCGCTGAAATCACTGTTTCCGTGTGTGGTATACGATCGACCAGTTCGCCTAAAGTTAAGAGAGCTGCGACTATAGTAAGTGCCCCCTCATATCTAATATATGTATATATCAATAGAACATTTCTAGAACCCGAAAACAGAATTGACACAGTGCACTTATGTTGCTAGTCTAGTCTAGTCTATAGTCTAGTCTAGTCTAGTCTATAGTCTAGTCTAGTCTATAGTCTAGTCTATAGTCTAGTCTATAGTCTAGTCTATAGTCTAGTCTATAGTCTAGTCTATAGTCTAGTCTATTGTCTAGTCTATAGTCTAGTCTATAGTCTAGTCTATAGTCTAGTCTATAGTCTAGTCTATAGTCTAGTCTATAGTCTAGTCTAGTCTATAGTCTAGTCTATAGTCTAGTCTATAGTCTAGTCTATAGTCTAGTCTATAGTCTAGTCTATAGTCTATAGTCTAGTCTATAGTCTAGTCTATAGTCTAGTCTATAGTCTAGTCTATAGTCTAGTCTATAGTCTAGTCTATAGTCTAGTCTATAGTCTAGTCTATAGTCTAGTCTATAGTCTAGTCTATAGTCTAGTCTATAGTCTAGTCTATAGTCTAGTCTATAGTCTAGTCTATAGTCTAGTCTATGGTCTAGTCTATAGTCTAGTCTATAGTCTAGTCTATAGTCTAGTCTATAGTCTAGTCTATAGTCTAGTCTATAGTCTAGTCTATAGTCTAGTCTATAATCTAGTCTATAGTCTAGTCTAGTCTATAATCTAGTCTATAGTCTAGTCTAGTCTATAGTCTAGTCTATAGTCTAGTCTTTAGTCTAGTCTATAGTCTAGTCTATAATCTAGTTTATAGTCTATTCTATAGTCTAGTGTAGTCTATAGTCTAGTCTTTAGTCTAGTCTATAGTCTAGTCTATAGTCTAGCCTATAATCTAGTTTATAGTCTATTCTATAGTCTAGTGTAGTCTATAGTCTAGTTTATAGTCTAGTCTATAGTCTAGTCTAAAAATCTCAAGCTTGATCCAAGTACATTTTCTCTCTACGACGAACATTGTTACAAACGTATGTACATATGTACATAATACCAAATTCAGATTAAAATTTAAACATGAAAATTTCAACGCTTCTGAAAATTTAAAACAAAAATCTTTTACTGCGGGCCTTAGGTTTCTAGTCCCCCTCTACACAACACCAGAGAAATTTTTACTCAAAACAGAGAGCAATAGCATGGTTTTTTTACATCTTATAAATTATTTTTATAGTATTTGTTTCTTTTTTTTTTTTGCTTTTTTCTCCATTTTATTAAATATTTTTTCCAATATGTATTAAAATATTTCTATTTATTTGTTGTATGGATTTCTTTTGTCGTTTTTTTTTTTCTCGAAAAACATTCAGAGAAGACGAAAAGAAAAAAAAAAGAAAACACACACAAAACGAATTCAATTCCATAATGTTTCCAATTGTGCTCCTATCGTAACTACTACTCACACAACAGACGCAATCACATCATTCCATCTCATTCGTAACAATAATATTAATAATGTGTGTCGTTGTTGTTTCAATTGCTTTACGGCCATTGCAGGTGGGTTGCACCAATAACAATCGTCATCGGGCGGCAAAAAAATACAACAGTAGCAGCCACAATTGTACATACAGTCGACGAATACACACACAAATATTTAAATATATTTTTACAGATTTTTTTTGTTTGTTTTGTTTTCTTTTTCATTACAATTGCATGAGTATTCGTTTAATTGTAGTTTTTTTTTAGTGTACCAAATATACATAAGTACATATGTACATGCATTTTTACTTACATATCTGCTTATTCTCTCTCTCTCTTTGTAACTCTCTTGCAGTTTTGTATTTAAATTTGTAAACTTTTTGCAGTTTTTGTTTGTGTAAGAAAGAGGGAGGGTGTTTCATTTGCTCTTGCATTTCGTTGTAAATTGCTTCGTACTCATACATTTAAATGACAATTGTGTTTTTTTTGCGTCTTCTTCTTTTCGTATTATTTTGATTTGAATTGAAAATGAAAATAAAAGAATTTTGGTATTTTTCATCTTGCTCTAAAGCAGTCTCTCCTTGTTATGCTTTGAGTTTTTGTTTTGCTCCGTCTTAACATTTTAATTAAATGATTAATTTGTCATTTACGTTGTTGTTGTTATTTTGTTTTTATGCATATAAAATTATATGTACATTTTCAAATTAACCGTTATGCAATTTTCTTCTTTCTTTCGTGTTTGTTCTTTTTTTTTCAATTTTTTTTTTTTGCATATTCGCGTATGTCAATATTTATTTTTGTAGTTGCTTGGGCTGCTTTCTTTTAATGGAATTTCATTTATTACTTTATTTCTTTTGTTGTTGTTTTTATATTTTCTAATGGCTGTCACTAGATGGGAGGTCTTTTCTTTTAACCTTAATATTTATTTTCTTGATTTAATGTGAAAAATGTACTTGTCTCTTTACATTTTATTTAAACACTATAGTTTCAAGATCTTCCCAGTCGATTTTTTCGTTAATAATTGACAGTGTGTCAAAATGTATTTATTAGAAATTTGTCAAGCATAACTTTTGTTAAATTATCAATCAAAATGGCTTCATTT